TAAAATATAAAAATCTTAGGCTAAACCTATTAACCTGCACAAGCTTATTAAATATTTAATTGTTGAAAAAATTATTAAAATAATAATGTTATTTATTTTGTTTAAAAATAATAATATGATATAGGCCGACCTGCAAGTTATAGGGCTGGCATATAAAAAAAAATCTATAACCTGCTTTCTAAATAGGTTTTTTTAAAAGCCTAAATTTGCTCTATTTAACTATTTACAATAAGTCAAGACTGATTTAATATAGGTTAAATCATAGATCTGTGTAGACTGACCTCACTCATTTATACCCTACCTATAATTGTTTACAATTCAAGTTCAAATAATTATAATCCAATAAACTCTCTAATTTTCTTCCTGGGCTAGCTGCCCACCGTATGTACTAAAAATAAATAAATAAATAAACTCTCTAATCGTCTATTCAACATGACAATTCATTTGTGAATAACAACTTTGATTGTTACCGTGGATCGCGTAATGGTGTACAGAGAGATATTAACAGAGCGATGAAATTAATTTTGTTATATTTACATATAATAATTTTGGCTTTAATGTTTCTAACGTAAATGTAGATAAATTAGTTACATTTGTTACTAAAACGATATCGTTGTGGTTGAAAAATTAAAAAATTATAATAAAAAATATTATTATAATCCTGAAATAAATTATAATTACAAAAATACTTTGATTTTTGTCTCAAAATAACATCATTTTGGGCTCAATGTAGATAAATTATTTACATTAAATCACGTGGGTGGGCGTGATGGTTCAGCATCTCGTCCCGTAAGCAAGTGATTGGGGGTTCGAACCCCAACTCTTGTGAATGGAAAGCATTCTGTGGCCATCTCTTTACCGCTTTGTGCGCTGGCTCAGGACGAGAGATTAGTCTCATAGCTATCGGTTGTGGAGAGACCCGGATGTAATCCAAACATTTTTTTTTATCTACATTGATGATATAAAAAGTAAACCCAATAATCTTCTTATTGTATTAAAAAACAAACGAACATAACTAATATCTAAAAGTATAAAAAACTTATTTTTCATAGTAATTATAAAAAAATATTAGAAAAATAGATTATGAGAATATAAAATTATTTATTTTATTGACATTGACACTTGGACAGCTTTGTCTTTTTTCATTTTTTCTCGTGTTTTTTTTTCATATTTTTTTCTCGGTTTTTAACTGTGATGAGTGAGTTATCTTTGAAAATAATTCGTAAATAATTAATTTTACTTAAACTTTTATAAATATCTAGCTTGTATCGGTAAGCAAGTAAAGCATTCCAAATCAATGTATACAAAATTATGATTAGAATAACACTGGAAATAAAAAAACAATTCATTATGAAATGATAATGATATAATATTTCGTCTGTAGGAATATAATTAGAATTTATTGTTTCTCATGTCATAAGAGATAAAATTATCTTCCGTAGTCTCAAAATTACGTCAGTGTAAGAGTTAAAAAAATTAATGAAGGATATTTTGATAAAATTTATATAATAAAGAACCAATAAACCCATATAATAAAACAACGTAATTTTGATTTACCCAAAAAAAACAACAACAATGTACTTTTGGATTTACAAGAGATAATCTTATTTACTGTGACAGGAGAAACAATAAACTCATATAATTATATATAATTACATATATATATCTTAGTCATTTAACCAACATCAACATATATAAAATTAGGGTAAAGGATTTATCCAGTCAATGAAGATAATTTATCTCCAGTGAGTCCCAAATGACGTCGTTTTAAGACAAAAATCAAGGTATTTTTGTAATTATAATATATTACAGGGTTATTTTAGTCTTTATCATTATAATTTTTTAATCTTATAATCCCAAAACGACGTTGTTTTAAGCTCACTCGAGAAATACGTTTCCCATAAAATTATGCTCATAATTAAAGAAGAAAAACAAAGAAGGCAAGACAATATATATATTTTTTTTTATACATATATCCTCCATAGCACGGACACGTGATTTTTTTGAAAATTTACGTGTCCGACACGGACACGCTCGGACACGCGTCCGACACGCGGTCAACATTTGAGGACACGCGGTCAACTCTCCGACACATTCCGACACGTTTTTCCGACACGCAGTCAACTTTTTCGGACACGTGGTCAACGCTCGGACACGCTCGGACACGTTTTTTTTATTCTTTTTTTATTTTTTTTTTATTTTTAAATCTTAATTTTATTACTTTAACTAAATATAAAATAAATAATTTATAAATTAATTTTTTTCTGTTACGAAATTTGACATGAAAATTTAACAAAGTACGAAAAATTATTTATATTTATATTTATGTTATGAAATTTAAATATTTGATTAGTTATATGAATTATTATACACTTTTATATTTATTAAATATAAATTATATTATATATATTAAAAAAATTATTTAATATCAAAACGTGTCCCAACGTGTCGAAATATGACATTTTTTAGAATTAACGTGTCGGCGTGTCGTGTCGTGTCGTGTCCCGTGTCCCGTGTCCGTGTCCGTGCATCATAGCATATATCTATTCGTTTTCAATATATATGGTTTTCAGAATCAATATTTGAAATAGAATAAGTAATTTGTTTAAATTTTTAGTATGTTAGTATATAAAGTTAAAGTTTTCTTATTAACAATAACAAGTTTAGCTCATACAATCAACTTGAATTAGAATAAAAAATATAATCGGTAAAAACTTATATATTTCTATCTCTATTTTCTTTTTACAAAAGAATGCGTGCTTATTTTAACAAAGCCACAATTTCGATCAAGGTTTGAGTTCCACGTATATGTTTCTTAGATTGGTCAAACACTGCCAAATATAATATTAAAATGTGGATGGAGCTTCACTAGTTAAGATGACGGATGATTAGTCTAAAACATTTGATTGCTGCCAACAATTTGTTGCCATCTTTTATAACTAATTCTTTGTTTTTGGCTTAGTGGTTTCTGAAGACCTCCTAAGCTTGCCCAACAGTTTCTTCGTATTTCACAGTTCACACAACATTTCTTTTGCTATCTTTTATCGTTTATAAGTTTATGTAGTTTATGGAACTGTCACCTCACTTTTAGATGAAATTGGGCCATTCTGTGAATAGCCTGCAATGCATGATCCCAAAATTTACACTTTTGATGGGTCTATTCATCTTGCAACACAACTCTATGTTTTACACTTTTGATGGGTCTATTCATATTGCAACAGAACTCTATGTTATCCTATATCTCTCTTTATTAAACCTAGGTAAGTAGGAACGGTTAGTTAACGGTTCTATCATATGTTTCCTTTAACTTGTGAGGCATTACTTCTTGTTATTCTAAAATAGTTCATATTACATCAAAGGGTTTGATTCAAGTTATACATACTTGATTTTGTTTAAGAAAAGGCTTGAGTTTAAGTTATTATAGATGCAAAAAATTCTCTATGCTCCTGATTTGAATAGAATTATTTCTCACAAAAGATACATGTGATTTATTTAAAAAATAATTTATATTATTTATTCAATAAAATACTTAAAATAAGTATAGACTCTATTTATTTCAATGTAACAATAAATACTCAATCTCAACTATAATGAGATTAACATTTATTTACGGATAAAAAAAATTAAACTCAAACCCTAATTATATTCCCTCGAAACACTTACTATTGTTGTACAATAAAACACGAATTCCACTTTAAATATGAAAACTTTACGAGAATTCAAATTGACATATTATTCTCTACTGTGCAAGTGAGATCACTTAACTAATTGTACATAATGATTCTCTCACATGTAATAATTAAGGGATAGGATCAATTTAATTAATCTTATATCCAATTTTAGATTTTAATCTATTTGTATAAATAAATTATAGATATAATTGTGATCAATTACTAAAATTAGATCTAGCACTCACACGGAAGTAAATTATCTTGTCCTGGTAAATAAAATAAAATTTGGTTTCTTCCAATTATTAAATAAAAGTTGAGGAATGATTAACTTAAATAAATTTAAGTCTTACCTTCATTTTTAATTATTGATTTCACTTATAACTAATGACTTTAATATACATGAACCGGTACAATTGGAATCAACGTGAAATCCTCCCATTCAAAATAAAGTTATTATCAAAATTCTTGGTAAAGACTTATTACAAGGAACCAATTAACGAATGATTATAAGAAAGGATGAAATATAAAATATTTGAGTCAACTCATTTCCATTCTATCTGATTAGGTTAGCCTAAACGACAAAGTGAAATTGAGTTGTCATTTAAGGAACAATAGTTCTATACAACACGAATGTAGTTTACGAATCAAACTACAAAACGCCATGGTTAACCTTGTTTTTTTTATATTAATTTTCAGCTTATCACATGTAAACACTTAGAAGTTTGAATCGGAGAAAATCTTTGATATACTAGGAGCATCGAAGTCGATGGTTCCTTTTATTAAAAATAAATTTATTTTTCTCTTTTTTTACCCATTTTTTTTTTATATTTTTCCTTTAAATCTTAATTTTTTTTCCTTTTAGTAAAAAAGGAGCACTAGTAGTTTACCACAAAAGAAAAAAAGAGCACCACTAATATACATCAACCACTGTAATCATTAGTTAAAGGGTTTAATTTGTGAGGATAAGTTATTCTACTTATTATTTTTTCTGTCTATCTTTGCTTATCACTCTCTAATATCGTTAGATCAGAATTTAAACATTTATTTTTCTCTATCTTTTTAAGATTCTGATTTAACAGTATCGGAAAGTGATAAGTAAAGATAAACAAAAAAAAATAATAGATAAAATAACTTATCACTTGTTTTTTATTATAAATTACACAAGTTTATGTTTTTTTTTAAGGATACCTCGTTTTGATTTTTGATTTTTTTTTTCTTAGAAACGAGGAGAAGAACAGGGCCATGGAAAGTTAGGCCCATAGAAAAGCACGTTACCCGAAACACAAAAAACAGATTTGTGATTTGGCTTTTCAAAGTACGAAGCAGAGGAAGTGGCACGACAATGACACATGAGAAGCAGAAGCGGTTCCTCTGACTTGTGGATCCAACAACTATGGTGGTTGGGTTGAGAGGGTTGTGTTTCATTGCAATCGTGTTGTTGCTTGTTTTGGAAGAGTGGGTGTCAACGCCCTCTTGCAAAGTGGTTCCAAGCATCAATCCCAATCTCATTCTTCAACAACATGTTCAATTTGGAGATGACCCAGATGACTTGAAGGTCATGATGGTCGCTGACCTTCTTCTCTTGGGCTCTGAAGCTGGTTATGTCAACCACTTCTTCAGGGACTACTACATGTCCAAATTCTTTCGGGTACTTCTCTTTCTTCTTCATTCTTCTCTTCTTGTACTTCACTTGTTTGATATATATATATATATATGCTATAGCACTGCCTTGCTTTTACACTTGTTATTTCTAATTTTTTATTTTATTTTATTTTAAATGAGAAACAAAGTGTTATGAGAGAAATTCTTAGATGTTCCTTAGAAAAGAAAAGAAGTTTTTGCTATGTAACATTTAACTTAGACCACTTTGGCCATGACATTAAAAAATGTTGTTGAAGTGAGAGACAATGATAACCCACTTACCTGATGTGGTACATGTTAAATGATATAGAACAAAACCTTTTTGTTTCTGTATTATCATGTATATGGTTATGGGAACTTGGGAAGTAATTGTGACATTAGACTATAGACTATGGAGAAATGATTTGTTATCCAAAGTTGCATCTTATGCTTAATGTAATGCTTCTTTCATGTGGCTTGTGTTTGAAGTCTTATAATTGCTGAATTTTTCAAAGTCTTGCAAAAAAAAAAAAAAAATTGTACTGGCAAGCATCCTGCTAAGATTGGAATTCTGGTTTATTTCATTGTTGAATTTGACTGTTGACATCCATGTATGTATGAGTTTCATTCCTCCTATCCTTATAATATAATAATGCACCAACTGGCCAGAAATCTTTTGAAAGTTTGAAGCCTGATTTGCTTCTTGTCTTGGGAGATGTTTCTGCAAAAGGTTCGCAGTTAACAAAAAGAAAATGGATGTCGGTGCTCAGTCAGTTTTACCAAATGTTGGGCCCCTTTGTTGGTCTTCCATTCCATGCAATTCTTGGTGATAGGGATATTGGAGAATGCAGTGATCTTGATGTGAATAAAGTTAATTGGATTGCTCACAAATTACCAGGATTGGATCCTTCTGGCTGTGGTGCATTTGAAATTGGTAACGTCAGTTTTGTCACACTGAATGCAGTGGCTTTACTCTGCGGCAATAGTAGTTTACGTTTTGATGTTGAAAAAGTAATAGAGAGGGAAAGTCTAGAACTTCGTGTGGAAACAGAGGGTGCAACAAAATCAGTAAATGATTCCACCAGCTTTAGAGATGCAGACTATAACTCCTTCTGGAGGGAAAGCGCCGTGTTATCTGGATCAGGTCCTGTACTTCTACTCCACTTACCTTTGGACCAAATGAGAAACGAGCACTATAATGGCCTTGATGCTTTTAAGAGATCTTCTACCTCTTTTATAGAGGGGTTAAATTTGGTGCCGAAAAGCAGGTTAGTGGACATCCTTCAAATGATCACATACCATATATTTTTTAAAGTCTTCTTGCAAGTTTACGAGTGATTTTATTCATGGTTCTCTAAATAAACTATTCAGTGTATTAGGTCATAAAATCATTCTATATATTGAAAAGGATGTATCACCTGTGATCATATATTCTTTACTTTTATATATATTGGTGAGGAAGAGCATATAATTCCATATCGTCTGATTGCTTCTGTAGAGCCATTTTTTATGGCCTGAAGTTTCAATCATAACCTTTTGTTGAAGAAAAAATAAATGATAAATTGTAAGTTTTTGGGATTAAAAATAGTATTCTAGAAATTTAGGAGAATTATGCATGAATTTTGTTGTATTGATAGTTTTATATTGCTTAGTTTGTAGGCAATAGTCAGTAATCGTTATTGCAGTATTCATGCTGTTAGACTTTCTATTTCATAATTAATGTAGAATTTCTTTTTGTATTAGGGAGCTCATTGGGGCTGGATTGTATAAGTTACTTCATACCCTCCCACTTAATGCTTCTGAATACATTTTACAAGCTCTGAAGCCAAGGTAATCAAGTGCTCATTTGATTGTGATCTCATATGACCAATTTGATCCCTTTTCCTTTTCTATCAAAGTTTTATATATATGTCTGAGTGTGTATGTGTTGGAGCTACTAATGTACTCCCACTTCTTTTTCTCTAGGAGTAGGTTTGCAACCTACACCTTTTTCTTTAGATAAAAAAACCAATTCCTTTATGTGTGAAATAACTTGCATTTATGGACATTGTTATTATTTGATTTTAAAAATTCAACTTAATTAAATTATCTTCCTCTCTCTCTCTCTCTCTATGTCTTTGTCTCCTGCAGTTATATTAGATTGTCCTTTTCTCACCCCCTTCCAACCTCTCTCAAAAAATTTTACTCCCTCATCAGAATGGCTGACTACTCAAAATTATATTTGATAGTATCTTCTCATTGTTACTATTTTAAGTATTGCTTTTAATCAGACAAGGTAGTGAAGTCCTTAAAATGATTAACGTCTACCTATCTGGCACAATGTACTCCATTGCTGCAACTATTCCTTTAAAAAAAGAATGAAGACCAATTCAGCAGAGGTGTGCTGACAAGGGAATTTGTCCTTCATTTAGAAATGCCAATTGAATGAAATGGGGTATGTAAGAGGAAAACCATGTCATAGGAAAGCAAGCATTTTTGAGAGGTGAGCGAGCTAAAAGAAGCGGGAATTTATTAGCTACATATGTATATGGAAATTTACTTTTAGTTACAGTTTTATCTTTATGTGTGTTTGTTGGATTAACTTAATTTTGGAGAAGTAATCGTTTTTTTAAGCTTATTGAGATATCTTTTGATAAAAAAGAAGAAGAAGCCATTAGTTCCCTTATTAATAGGTTACCAAACAAGGGTCATGCTGCGCTTGAATGCTTCTATGAGAAATGATACCTTTTTTCCTTTAAGATTGAGGTAAAATAATATTGGTCCAAGGTGAGACTGATATGATACGAACCTTCAATCCATAAAAAAGACAGATTTTTCATGGTTTGGTTTGATGTTGTATGCTTCAGTGAATTTGGTAAACCATCGTGCTGTAGAGTGTAGAGTTTAGATGTCACTCGCCATCTGCCTCAAATGGGCATTTTTTTAATTTGATAACCCCCCCCCCCCCTCCCTTCCTCCAAAAAAAAAAATAAAACCCAAAATAATGTTTTTTTGTTTTGTTTTGGAGTCTACATGCTTTAGTTTCTTTTAAGTATTACTTTCTTATACTAAACGTTAATATGAGTTACTTCCACAATTGCATGTTAATATTTGATTTTATTGCTATACTATCATTGTCCAAGATATAATCTAGTGGGAGTTTGTTGCAAATAGTTTCTAAAATTGCGTTTGATTATTTGGTCTTCTGCATGAAAGCTGTTTCAGCTTGTATTCTTATATTGAATATTTAGATTAGTGAATGTCAAGTATTGGACAGTTGGGGTGCTGCTCAAATGTAAAATTTTCTCACTTTTACTAGTTAATGGTGATGTTGAAAGAAAGTAAAAATTAGTTGCATGAATGGGTGATAGGGAACAAATGGCATAAAGAGAAGGAGAAAATCCCTTAACATGCCTCTGCCCATTGTCTGCAGGATTATTTTTAGTGCTCACAGGTATGCATTTTCTGATTACATACATTTGGACAGAACTCCTGAGATTACTGTTCCAGCAATGTCATGGAATGCAAGAGATGACCCTGGATTTGTGATTGCCACTTTCCAAAAGACAGGAAGAGCAGTGAGCATCAGCTATTGTTCTCTCGCTAGGGAATCCCATATTCTTCTACTATATGTCTCTATAATGGTTTTGTTTTGTTTGTTATGTTTAAAAGGATAGCGTGGAAGAATACAGTAATACACCCCCCCCCAGAGAGGATAGTAGGGAAGCTTACAAGGGGAAAAAAAAAGGGATGGTAGGAAATGCTGAGTTACACATTATTTTTCATCAATCATCATCATTGTCTCTACCAATTTTGAAGTCCGAGAATAGTTTTTCTGTGATTATTATTATTAGGTACATTGGAAGGGATAGTATATTGTGACACCCAAGTTATGTTACACTCATGTGACACCCAGTCAATCTCACCGTTAGATCGCTTATGTTAATCCAACGGTTATATTTATTTCCATCTTTGTATGGTCATGATTTCCCAAATTTAAAGTGAAAGCATTAAATATGGGAAATCATAACCATTTTCACTTTAAATATGGGAAATCATAACTATACAAAGGTAGAAATAAATATAAAATATTAAATTTGGGAAATCATGACCATACAAAGATGGAAATAAATATAACCGTTGGATCAACATAAGCGATCTAACGGTGAGATTGACTGGGTGTCACATGGGTGTAACATAACTTGGGTGTCACAATATCCTATCCCACGTTGGAAACAGAAAAACAACTATCCAATTAAAGTTATATACCCATCAAGACTGCTAAAAGAAAACAACCCAACACTGGAGGAGGGTTGCACCAAACCATTAGCACGTTTTCCCCTTACACCACCAAGCTTGACAAGAGGTTATGCTCAAAAGTTGAGCTTCCCTTAACAAGTTTCACCTTGACTTCCCAATGATGATCAAGCAGCACTCTTGCTATTCTATATTATTATAATAAATAATTATGAAATATATGTATGCAATTTACCAAAAAAAAGGGTCATGGGCTGGACTAGCCTGGTTTATCATGCTCGATGGCATGATATTTTTTTAATAGGATTATTTTACTCTTTATTAATTTTTTTAGAATACGAAACTTTATCTTTTGTTAAATGATATAAAACATTACCTAATACTTGTTTAACTTATATTAAGAAATTTAAAAAAGTTACATAACTGTTTCTTTTTTATCAAATTGGAGTTTTTTTTTTTTTTGGTAGATGAGATTTTAATTTTATTAGCATTTGAAATCGATACAGCAGTATTGTGATCATATAATTAATATATTTCGATATTAAATACTAAAGTTTAAAATTGTTACAATTGATAAAGAATGTTAGAAATTATAACGATGAATTTAGAAAAGAAATAAATTAATGTATTAAATTGTTAAATGCTGTTAAGTGTTAACTTTTTTTTTTTTTTTTTAAGTTACCCTATCTAAATTATCTCTTTGAGACGAGTTGGCTCTCCCGGTATCCTTACAAACTTGATTTTTTGAGCCGGCTATGAGATTAATCCGGAGTGCAGGGCAGGTTAGAGATAAAAATATTTAAGTCATTTTCAAGTGCGACATGTAGGGAGTACCCTTTCATTTTCACTAATCAGTAGGGATGTGCATGGGTCGAATCGAATTGAATTTTTTAAAAAACCGAATCGAATTGGTTTAAATGGTTCGCTTCGAAAATGGTTCAGTTCGGTTCAAAACTGGTTCGGTTTGGTTGGAAACAGTGCGGTTCGGTTCAGAACCGGTTCGGGTCAACCCTATTTTGAAAAGAAAAGAAAATTAAAATTTAAAAAATAAAGTTATAAAAATCAATTTGGTTCGGTTAGGTTCTTAAACTGGTTCTAAAAATCGGTTCGGTTCATGAACTAATTCTTTAAAAATCGATTCGGTTTATAAACTGGTTTTTAAAAATCAGTTATTTTAAAGGCAGTTTGGGTTCGGTTCATGGTTCGGTTCAGTTTTTTGATTATTTTGCATACCCTACTACTCAGCTCCCACTTCTACCAATTGAGCTAGCTGCCTTTGGTGTTATTAACATTAAAACATCCAAGAAAGTATTTTTTTAAATTGATCCTAATTACTTTTTTGAGGCGAATCAACCTCCAGTATTCTCACAAATATCAACACTTTGAGCCGGACTAATCCCGAATTAGAACTTAGTTAAAACTACTCACCCCTCCAAAAAAAATATATTTTGTGGAAATCAAATTCAGATTCCCCTTCCCCCTTTCCCAACTTTACTTATCATGTGTTGTTAACTAAAGCTACGTCCATTCGTTCAAGTGTTTATCTTCAAATAATTACACGTACACACGTAAATAATTAACACCACAGTATGGCCTTTGCCCCAATAGATGAAATAAGTCATTTTCATTAATAATTAAACACTCCTAAACTGGTTCAATAATTTCCAAACTCTTTAGAAAAAACGTGAATTAAATTTTTGATTAACTACAACGAAAAGCTTATTCTTTTTTTTTTTTGGTCAATTAAATTTACAATTGTTTAATTACATATTTACATGATTAAGCTAATGAACTTGAGTTAATAATAAAAAAATAAGTATAATGACAATTATTCAAAATATAAAACACTTTTTTTTAACTTTAACTAAAACTTAAAAAAAAAAAGATTAAACAAACTCTAAATCATAAAAGTATTTATTATTAACGAAGAAAGAGTCAAAGAGATACGATCAAAATTTCACATCAAAGATTCATTTTTGTAAATCATAGTTGAATCAGGATTGAAGTTTTTGGATGACGTGTACGATCGAGATTTAATCTCGTCGTTCTCCATTTTGCTTGAATTGAATTGAAGATTTGGGAACTATGGCCTCATCATAGCAGAGAGAAAGAGAGACTATCAATGGCGGAAACTGTTTCCGGTTCAGCATCCTCTCCAAAACCCCCAAACACCATGGATCCTCAAAGTCAAAGTCAAAGTCAAATTCAAAATCCCCAAAATCCATCATCTTCAAACCCTACAATCCAATCGCCTATGGCTTCTCCCTCTCTCCCTCCCCTCCCTCAAATCCCCCAATCCCAACAACAACAAGATCAACAACAACAACAACAACAACAACAACAACAGCTCAGTCCATCAATGCAACAACAATCGCAACAGTCTCAATCCATGAACATGAACCCTATCGCGAGTTTTCAACTGCAGCAAACCCTTCAGCGATCGCCTTCCATGTCTCGTCTCAATCAAATCCAATCTCAGCAGCAGCAGCAATTAGGGCTCATGAGGCAGCAGGCCGGATTGTACGGCGGCCAGATGAACTTCGGCGCCGCCGCCGCCTCGGCTCAGCTGCAGAATCAGCAGCAACCGTCGCAATTAGGTGGCTCCAATTTGGCACGGACGGCGATGATAGGGCAGAGCGGACATTTCCCCATGTTGTCCGGTGCTGGAGCACAGTTTAACTTGTTGTCTTCGGTATAATTTAGCTTAATTGTTTCTTCCATTTAATGTTAAATCCTTCATATGCATTTTGGTAAGAAAAATTAAACAACTTAGCTTAGCTGCATTTTTTATTTTTTTTAATACTTTTCAATCATGATTGGTTATTAGGTATTAGTGGTATGTTTTTTACAAAATGTTTTGCGATGAGTAGCATTGATGTTTTGGAATAAAGTGTGAAGAGTGAAAGACAAACATGTGATCTTAGCATAGAAAGGAATTAGGTAGAAACGAGATAATTTGAGGAAACAAGACACTGTCTAACATACTTTTTTTTCTTTTTTTTTTCATTTATACTTTTAATGTTTTTATATGGATATAGCTTTTCTTTCTATATTGAAAGGTCATGGGTTCGAATTCATGAAACAACCTCTTTGCAATTATGCAAAGGTAAGATTGCGTACAAAGATTACCTCCACCCCACACTTGCTAGTCGGGTTTAACGGGGAGTGTTTTTTTTTTAATATGGATATAGCTTTTAATTATTTAAATATCATTGCATTTCATGCCTTACATGTTCAAAAAATTATTTCTTTTCTTTCTGATTTTTTTTTTTTTTTTGGTATTTGGTGTAGCCGAGGCAGAAAGGTGGGCTAGTCCAGGCATCTCAATTCTCTTCTGGAAATTCTGCTGGACAGCCACTGCAAGGAATGCAAGGAATGGGGATGATGGGGTCATCAAATCTCACCTCACAACTAAGAAACAATAGCCTTGCTTATGCTCAGCTGCGATTGAGTCAGGGTCAAATCAGGCAGCAACTATCACAGCAGAGTTCACTTAACACTTCACAGGTATAATTTATCCTTTATATATTTTGATATAATTTTAGTGAACTAGGAAATAATTATGCTTACTGATGTTCTGATTGTATCTTTATAGAATCAATTTGTCATATTCTTACATTTTTCTGTTTTTGATAAATTATTCTTATGTGCTTTAGATTTCAAATGTCCATGTAGTCAAAATTCTGCATTATTTTTTTTTACATTTCAAGATGTATTACACAGTTGCACTTGTTCTTTGGAAGTTCATGCTCCCAGATTACCAAATATCCTGTTTCTTTTCAACACCCGACCACAATTTGATTTAGTTTTGCACCATTCTTGTGCATTATGTTTTGGTTTTGCAATGATCATTTTTTAAGAAACGATAATTCAATGTCTGATTAGAAAGTTTATCTTATTTTTGTCTTTCTTCTTCATTTTGTCGTACTATTTGGGGATTGGAAGAGGTTAGACATTCTTTATAATTGTAGAATCAAATGTTAGATTTTATTTTTCGAATTTACCTGCAATTCACTTTTATTGTCGCAAGAGGAACACACACCTTAAAACTTTTTGGGTAATGCCACCTGCCATTTTATCAAAATGAAGCATAGAACTAGTTGAAAAAAGAGAGAGTTTTATTGATAAAATTGTGTATAACCTATGATGCACGGACACCGACACGCGACACGAGACACAATACGATACGACACTCCGACACGATAATCTCAAAAAATGTTAAATTTCGACACGTTAGGACACGTTTTGATATTAAATAAAAATTTTAATATATATAATTGATAAGCCTATTGACTACTTGATTTTATGTTTCTCTTGGCCCTCTTATCATGGATTCTCCATATATTCAACAGATTTATTGGGCTGATTCATAACAACACCTTGTCCTACAAGCTTAGGCATTTGGTAGGGAGTGTTGAGATGCGTGCACCAAGTTCCTAAGAAATCAATTATGGCTTTTAGTATTCAAAATAAAAAAATAATGGCATTTGAATCAATTGGCACGTGGGTAGCACTCAAGCTATTAGATCAAATGACAATTTGTTGCCAACACTTAGAGAATGAATCTTGTCCGCCGAAGAACCTCGTAAATGATGGGCATCATCCAACGGTTGCTTTAGTGTCAACTTTAACAATTGCTCTTGGACCGTTTGATTACATTGAATACTGTGAGACAACTGGCAGCCATTAAGACTTGTGATTGGACTATACAACGCGTCTTTAGATTTAGGAAGATCTTTGAAATCACTCATGGAGCTTGGGGGCACTATTCTTTTTACAGAGCTACCATTTTAGAGAGGCCAACCTTTGATATAAGTCCCTCCACTATTCATTTTTTCTTATTACAGAAACGTCTCATTACACTACGAAGAACGACGCGAGGACGAGGACGAACCACCGCTTGGAACGACGACGAAATGCTTGACAAAAGATTGAGGGAGAACGGCGTGGTCACTGGTTTACGGCTCAAAATTCGAAACTGGGTTGTCTATCATGTTTTTTTTTTCATTTTATAAAAGTTTTAAAATTTTTACATTTATATCCTTTGACCCGTGTCCGACACGGTCAAAATCGCGTGTCGCAATAGTCAACGTGTCCTAAAATGTTGACCGCGTGTCGGAACGCGTCCGAGCGTGTCCGTGTCGGACACGTGTCCGACACCCATTTTTCATACAAAATGTCGTGTCCGTGCTTTAGAGTATATAACATCTGTACAATTGCTCTCTATTTAAAGAGACTAAATAACCTAATGGGCTAAGCCCAAAGAAGATTTTAGAATGAAAATAAATAAACAAATACTATTATTTACAACACTCCCTCTCAAGCTGAGGAATAGATATTTATCATTCCCAGCTTGCTAGTAAGCTCTTGAAACCTTTCCGAGGGAAGTCCTTTTGTTAGAATATCAGCTAATTGACGTCCAGATGGGATGTACGGAGTGGTGATCAACCCATTATCAAGCTTCTCTTTGATAAAATGGCGGTTGACCTCGACGTGCTTAGTCCGATCATGTTGAACTGGATTATGAGCTATACAAATGGCGGACTTATTATCACAAAACAACTTCATAGGTCCTTCACATCTTTTTTTAAGATCACCAAGTATAATTCTCATCCACAATAATTCACAAACGCCTTAAGCCATAGCTCAAAATTCAGCCTCAGCACTCGATCTAGCAACCACGTCTTGCTTCTTACTCCTCCATGTCACTAGGTTACCACAAAGAAACATACAATAACCAGTGGTAGATCGACGATCAGTTACGGATCCAGCATAATCAGCATCGGTATAAACTTCTAAAGAGAGATTGCCATTACGCCGGAACAACAGTCCTTTACCAGGAGTGCCTTTAAGATATTGAAGAATTCTCTCCACTACCTGCATGTGTTTTTCTTTTGGATTATGCATGAACTGACTTACAATACTGACAGTATAAGCAATATCTGGTCTAGTATGAGTCAAATATATCAGTCTCCCAACTAACCGTTGATATTGTCCTTTATCAACTGGAGGACTCTCCTCTTCATAACCTATCTTGTGATTCTGCTCAATAGGAGTACTAGAGGGTTTACACCCAAGTTTTCCCGCTTCTTTAAGAAGATCAATGACATATTTCCTCTGGCTGATAAAAATTCCTTCTTTTGAATGAGCTACCTCTATCCCTAGGAAATATTTCAATCTCCGAAGATCTTTAATTTCAAACTCAGAGGCTAGCCGTGCTTGTAGAAAATGTTTCTCAGCAATATCATCACTTGTTATAATAATGTCATCAACATATACAAGGAGTACAGTTAGCTTCCCATTTTGAGAGTGCTTGAAGAATAATGTGTGATCTCCTTGACTCTGTTTATATCTTAAGGCCAGCATAACCTTAGTAAATCTCCCAAACCAGGTACGAGGAGATTGTTTCAATCCATACAAGGCCTTTTGCAACCTGCAAACTTTATTTCCTCCATCCATAGAGCCAAATCTAGGTGAAATTTTCATGTAGACTTCTTCTTCTAACTCACCATTAAGGAAAGCATTATTCACATCAAATTGATTCATATCCAGTTGTAATGGGCAGCAAGGGACAACAAAGCTCTCACAGTATTCATCTTTGCAACTGGAGCAAAAGTTTCTTTATAATCAATGCCATAGGTCTGAGTGTAACCCTTGACAACTAACCATGCCTTATATCTCTCAAGAGTACCATCAGAATTATATTTCAAGGCATAAACCTATCTGCACCCTACTGCTTTCTTTCTATCAGGTTTATCAACAACCTCCCATGTTTTATTTTTCTCTAAGACATTCATCTCATCTTGCATGGCTCGAGCCCAATTCTCATCTTTTAATGCTTCATGTACTGATTTTGGGATTGAGATAGAATCTAGTGCTGAAATTGTTAGAATATATTAAATATGATTAGATATGATTAGTCTGTAATTATTATGATTAGATATGATAAACAAAGGTGTAACACCCCAAATTTTAACAATTTATAATAGCATAAATAAATTCAATAATTTTATAAATAACAGCGGAAGTTCAAAATAATCAAATTTGGGAAGTGTTACCGCCGCACTTGTACAGGGACAAGTGCAAGGCTAACTCTATACATTCAAATAAAAATCTAAGATTACAGTTTTTTTTTTTTATACATAATATTTATGACAGCTAGAAATACTGAGTCGTATCCTCACTGTCCACTGCTAGCCCCATCCTTTGCAACATGCTTCACTGAAAAATCTGCTCCCCCGCAGCCGCAGGATCATTGCAGTCAAACAAACACAAAAGTCAGCAAAGCTGGTAATCTCAATCAAAATACAATTAATGTGATTAATAACAAATTAAATCAAATATCAAATAGTGTTCAAATCAATTCCACATTAATCAAATCAAATATCAATATAATAATCAAAATTCCATTATATAATATTTATCTTTATTAAGTTCATTTAATGTATTTGGTAATTATCAAATAACATATTTAGCACAACATTAATCATAATATGATAATATTCACAACTCAATGACATTCTTCATAATCAAATCAAATAACAAATTTCATTAATAATAATGTTTAAGTTCATTATATTTAGTGGGAAGAGAACCATGGTAGACCCGGGAAACCCTGCCAGTCTACCCTGTGACCCAGGAAACCCTGCCAGTCACAAACAAATCACATTGGCCATAATCAATTCACATCTTCCTAGTGTGCACACCTCTTACCAAAGTTGCTACTAGTATCCCGGGAAACCCTGCCAGATACCACTTTGGGAAGAACGGATACAATCTTTTTCACATCAGTTTAACATCGGAGGCATAAAGCCCAAAAGTTGTGTTCATCACCTTGGGAGGTACCATCCCAAAGCTATCCTCCCACTATTAATTATTTACAATCACACTCAATCATCATATCACAATTATCACATTTGAAAATTTCTTCTTTCAATATATCCATTACTCAGGGTCATCATAACTTCCATACTATTCAAAAGTATTAAAATATTCAAATAGAACAGAGGGATTAGGATTACTATTAATAAACTTCAAACAAAATTATAACCTATCTGCACCCTACTGCTTTCTTTCTATCAGGTCTATCAACAACCTTCCATGTTTTATTTTTCTCTAAGACATTATCTCATCTTGCATGGCTCGAGCCCAATTCTCATCTTTTAATGCTTCATGTACTGATTTTGGGATTGAGATAGAATCTAGTGCTGAAATTGTTAGAATATATTAATTATGATTAGATATGATTAGTCTGTAATTATTATGATTAGATATGATAAACAAAGGTGTAACACCCCAAATTTTAACAATTTATAATAGCATAAATAAATTCAATAATTTTATAAATAACAGCGGAAGTTCAAAATAATCAAATTTGGGAAGTGTTACCGCCGCACTTGTACAGGGACAAGTGCAAGGCTAACTCTATACATTCAAATAAAAATCTAAGATTACAGTTTTTTTTTTTATACATAATATTTATGACAGCTAGAAATCCTGAGTCGTAT